CAGCCCCTTCTCCATACACTGCACAAATCTCTTCATATGTTTCAGTTGTGTTTTTACACAACTGAAAATTATTTCTTGAAATAATAAAGCATAATATGCTGAAAATGTTACCTATTTCCTTCCATCTTCAATATTAAAATGGCTACACAAAAATTCACCAATTTTGATACTGTTTTTTTTTTTTTTTTTTTTTAATATTTTATTTATTTATCTTTAGAGGGGAAGGGAAGGAGAGAGGGAGAGAAACATCAATGTATGGTTGCTTTTCGTGCGTCCCCTGCTGGGAACTGGCCTGCAGGGAACTGGTCTGCAACCCAGGCATGTGCCCTGACTGGGAATCGAACCGCGATTGTCTGGTTCGCAGGCCCGCACTCAATCCACTGAGCTACACCAGCCAGGTGATACTGTTTTTTAAATGCTCGCTGACATGACAGCTGTCACAATACAATCTAACAAAATTGTTTCGAATGGCGGTAAAGACAATCAAGTATTACTAGAGCCATTGTATGGAAAAAAACAAATGAACTTTTTGGCCAACCCGATACAACCCATGGAAATGTGACCTGTTTTAGAGGCAATAGATTCCTTACCTATATACTAAAAAAGAAAACAATCTTAACACTTTTCATTTTGTTTTTATCTGCAAAAAACTCTTGCTCTTGAAATCGGTCTTTATATACGTCTGGGGGGAACTCAAGTCTAAATTCAGAAACTTCTGAAACAACTTAGATGCTTAGATGACATGTTCCTGGCTGGCTGAACACCGCCGCAGCAGAGTGAACTGCAACCCCTCCGCATGCCCGCAGTCTGGGGTGACTGCAGCGTCCTCCCAGCTGAGAAGTTTGCGCTAAATGAAGTGGCCCAAGTGATCCGTGGCTCTTGATTTTGCTTGCGGGTCTCTCTCCAGGGTGCAGAAATGATTGTTTTTCATCAGCTTCCTGGGGACAACTTTCGATGACTCACCCCAGGCAGGCCCTCTTTGTGAACCCAGGTGTGCCGTGGCATCCCTGCTTTGCGCCATCTGCCCTTTTGGACACTCTGAGGTGAAAACCAGAGTGAGTGCAGCCTCGCTTTCTCTTTCAGCCACTCGGTCATCTTGGTGGGGAGGAGCTGTGTGTGTCTTGAGACCCATGTCCCCACATAGAAGGCTGGTTACCTTATTCCTGTGCTCCAAAAAGGAGGAGCTCAGGGATGGCAAGCTAGCTGGGGGAGACATGCTCTTCTAGTTGGTTTCGTCTGGGTGCCTTATCTGCAGGGATAGAAGGCGGTGCTTCATAGCAGTGCAGTTTCTCTGACTTCTTGACACCAGCCACTTGGAAGAAGCTTCTTAACACTGGGTCAGGGGGGTCAAGGACAGCACTTAAGCTGTAGGCACTGCGACGGGAAGAGTTCCACATAGTGGGGATATTCTTATCTCCCTTCAGCTTTGAATATGAAGCACAGTAATTAAGATTGTAGGGGAGATTTACCTGACCTGTAGGGAAGAAAAAGCACTTAATAGACTTCTGTTTTCTTGCTGCTGCTGCTGCTGCTGCTGAAACTGGGACTTACCCAGTTAATGGGTTCATCGTGGTGTGGCTCTTCTGACCCTTGTACACGCTTCTTTGAATAAAGTTATTATGAAAAAGTCATCAGACTTTTCACATTGTAAATATTTGATAATTACTTGTTGGATTAATTATATAAACCCGATTCCAGGATAAACAAATGTGGCAGATACTTGCAGTGGAATAGTGTTCAGGCACAGAAATGAATGGAATTCCAATGCGCGATGCAGCAGGGGTGAACCTTGAAAACACTGTGCTTAGTGAAATAGGGACCAGAAGGACGAACGTACGATTCCATTTATGTGAAGTGCCACAAATAGGCGAAGCCATGGACACAGAAAGTAGGACAGTGGTTATCAGGGGCTGGGGGACATCCATATCATGGGGACCTACTGCTCAGTGGGCGCAGGGACTCTGTTTGAGGCGATGAACAGTTCTGGCAGTGGACGGTGGCGATGGCTGCATGACACTGTGCACATACCTAATGCCACTTAGCTGTACACTTGCAATGTTAAATGGTAATAGTGTCAATACCAAAAACAAAATGTGTTAAATGGAGAATTTTATGGTAAGTGTATTTTGCCATAAAAATGTTTTAAAAAACTGATTCCAGTGCAGGAAGAGTATATGACTCCTAGGAACGCAAAAATATAAACTTAAGCCTGAGCTTACAGACCTTCTGAGGGTCAGTTCCTTATCAGCAACAGAGAAAACCTTTACTCCAGCCATTGCCAGAGCCCAGTCTCAGGTAGGTGTAGCTGGTCCTCACCCTGCTTTTTATTGGGGGGAACGATACTATATCTGGGAAATACCTCTCAGGATATGGACTTCATTAATTCATCCAGAAATTCTCTTTTTGTCCCTGGGTCAAGCCAGATGATCCAATTGCTGTGGGCATGGGCATCATTCTGGCCTTGCTAAGTCACTTCAGTGAACTATGCTTTGGCCTCTTACCTTACACTGAGGGAAGCGATAGGTAGCATTATAGGAGACGCCCTACTGTGCACACTTAGAGGCACTATTAATTATTATTCCCATCCCCTGACCTGCCAGTGTGGATGATAAAGGATATTTTAAGAATTCACCCAAGGATTTAGGAGAAATTTCTCAATGACAAGAACAAGCTAACCCTTTTGAGAATCCGTACATTGTATTTTATTTTAAGGTCCATTTAATTATCTTGTGTCCGTTTTCTTTTTTGCTTTGGCCACTGGGATGCTCAGGACCCAATTTATGAACCATATCAAGTAATAATTTAGTATTTTATAATTTTCTGTGCACTAATTTTTCCTCATACGTATATATCTATATAATGTATCCAGAGTGTATCCAGCCATGTAATATGGAAAATAGAGACATTTATTGAAGAAGATACAAGATACAAAAAACATTGTACATAGCACATTGACACCTCAGTCCCCTTGAAAGTAGGCACCTTGGGACCTCACACAGTTCTCCCAGTCACCATCAGCTGCCCTGCTGTATTTTCCTGAATCTCACTGATGGTCTGAACTCTTTTCCCTTTTAAAGGAGATTTTAGTTTTTAGAAAAGCCAGAAGTCCCAGGGTGCCAATCTGGGCTGTAGTGAGGCTGAGTCACCTGTGTCATTTGATGTTTTGCAAAAAAACTGCACGAGACATGATGTGTGGGTGGGCACATTGTCATGATGGAGCTGCCAATCACCAGTTGCCCATAGCTGTGGCCTCTGAGTCATCAGAAGAGTTTCTGTGGAGGAATGTTCAAGCTTTGTTCAAAATTTGATGCAGATTTGTTGCTCTCTTTGCTCAATCACTTTGAATGTGAAGGCCACACAGTGAACATGATCACTCAAGGGCATTTACCACCCCCACTGACTAGTACAGTGAAGTCGTCACTGTTCATGCATGTGCAATCCAGTCCACTCTCCTCGGATGTCAAGTTACATCGATGTTGTGCAAACCATTCTTGTTATATTAACAATGGCTGGACTTTTATATGGCAGCCAAGGAGAGAAGCACTGAAAGGCATCAAAATTGACAAGTTTAAAAATTGTTTTGAGCAATGGGAAAAATGTCTTGATAGGTGTATTGCATTGAATGGAGAGTACTCTGAAGGTGACTGAAGTTTAAACATGTAAGAATAAACAATTTTCAATAAATAACTTTGTGTTTTGGGGGGTCCCCCTTATATACATATATACTTATATACCTTATATGGCGAGAAAGAAAGAGATGTTTATTTTAAGGAATTGACTCACGTGTGTGGAGGCTAGCAGGTTTGAAATTTTCAGGCAGGCCCTAGCCACTGTGGCTGGATTGGTTGGAGCAATGCTGCATGGCCAAAAGGTTGCAGGTTCTATTCCTGGTCAGGGCACACACCTGGGCTGAGGGGTTCAATCCCTGGTCTAAAAAATTGCAGGGCAGGCTAGCAGGCTGGAGTCTCAGTTTTTACTGTTTAAAAATTTGATTTGAGAGAGAGGAAGGGGGCAGGGAGAAGGCGGGGCAGGGAGGGAGAGAGAAAGAAAATGAGAGAGGGAAAGAAAATGAGACAGAGACATCAGTGTGAGAGAGAAACATTGATCGGTTGCCTACCATATGCACCCCGACCGGGGACTGAATCCGCCATCTAAGTATGTGCCCTGATCAGGATCTAACTGGCAAACTTTTGGTGTATGGAGTGACATTCCAACCAGCTGAGCCACCTGGCCAGGGCTCAGTCTTTACCCTTAAGGCCTCAACTGATTTGATGAGGCCCACCCACATTATAGCGGGTAATCTGCTTTACTCAAAGTGTACTAATTTAAATGTTAATCCCATCTAAAAATATCTTTACAGCAGTCTGGATGTGTTTGACCAAACTGAGTACCAAACTTGCCTCAGCCAAGTTGACTAAATACAGAAAATTAACCATCACCACTAGGGATATAATTATTTAAAATTGGGCATATAATCATTCAGTGTCTTTTACAGTTGCTTATTTGAGTGCATGCAGAAAAAGTTTCCAATTCCCTTTCACCTCCTCGTCTAGGTTCAAGTCTCATGTCATTATCTCATCAGCTGGTAGGGCTGCCGTCCAAAGCAGGGTTGGTTAAATGGCACAGAGTCTGCATTGTGTGTGGGTGCGCTGACCTGCCAACATACCCTGGTGTATGTCAGCGTTATGCGAAGTTCTGCCAGCTCCTTGCTAAACAGCTATTTTTGTGGAGGGACGTGATGAGGTGCATGATTTCACCAATCATTACCATTCCCAATTAGATGGGGTCCAGGTGTGTGTTAATAAAACATTAGCTCACTCTGACTCGATTCCAGGGATTTCACGCATTTGGTGTTGTTCAGTTGGTTACATGGCTGCTGTTTCACGCTGTAAGGTCTTCGAACATCTGGAGACCTGCCTTTTATGAGGAAACATTCCAGTTGTTCGGGAATGTAACTCTTTGTCAGCAGTGGCTCTTACCTTATCTCTTTACCTTTCTAGGCTGGAGGTTACTTCCTTTGGGCACAGACCCCTTCACTGCCGGAGCGGAGTCCGACGGCCGCGCTCCCTCTCAAGGTAAGAATGGAAACGACTGCAGTAGGCCGGTGGTCAGGGAGCCGTGTGCACTGTCTTTAGCCCCTCTCCTCGGCAGTGCGGCAGGTTTTCTATCCCATTCTAACCCTTCACTGCTCCCTGTGGTCCTGGCATTTCAAAGCCTGGTTTTGGCTTTAGTTCCATTTCTGGTGGCCCTGAGGAGGGAGTCCTCATATTCAGGGGCTGACCAGTGGATCGAAGACTTCTCTGCTTCCCACATAGTACACTAATATGGTCACTTAAAACAGGACCTCCTGGAGTAATGGTCCCGGTTACAGGGATAAGAATGTCTGAGGAGTGGGAAGTGATGTACAGAAGGGTCTGTGTCAAGTGCACTACATCGCCAACCGGCTTAGTGAGTGCATGCACTGCTTATCAAGCATTTGTAATTAGAGGACATTTAAATGTTAAGGATTAGAAAGTGTTTCCAGATCCAAAATAGGATGAGAGGGTTACCCTAACAGAGAAGAGGCAACAGCATCGATATGGGCACATTTAAAGTTGTGTTTTACCGATGGCTGCTTTTTACTTCATTTTGCTTTAGGTGTGGCGCTTAATATACAGGCTGACCAGGTTCGGTCATTAGCATGTCTCCCTTTTTCCCTGTGAAAAAAACAAATCTAAGATCTGCTTTTCTGGGTGCAGGCTGCTAAGACTAAGGAATGACCTTTTTGTGTGTGTTTAATTCTCACCCAAGAATATGATTACTGATTTTAGAGAGAGAAGAAGGCGGGGGGGTTGTGGGGGGAGAAAGAGAGAGAGAGAGAGAGAGAGAGATCAATTGGTTGCCTTCCATACATGTCCTGACTGAAGATGGAACCCACAAACTTTTGGTGCATTAAATGTCCATGCACAACTGGCCAGGGCAGGGATATCTTTTTGAGGCTTCAGGGACCGAAGCCTGGTCTGCTGAGTAATCTCCCTGGCGGGGGCTCTCAGCTCCCAGCCCAGAGGCCCTCTGCCTTGCCAGCCGACCTCCCACCTGGCATCTCGTGGGTGAAGGAGGCAGCCTCCAGAGGAAGCTGCGTGAGATTGGGAGCTGATGGGGCCTGGGCCATGTTTACCTTCCTGTTTCTTGTCTAAAGAGCAGAATGAATTATTAGCACCCATTTGTCAGTGCTAATTATGTGTTTCAAGTACAAAGCAGCATTCTGTAGGTGTCTGCTAAGATGCTTTCCTCCTTGCCTTTTTTTTTTTTTTTTAAAGGATGACATTGTACTACTCTAATTGAGTCCAGGAAAACAAGTAGGAATCTGTATGTTATCACTGTTAGCTCTTAGGGAATATTGGGTGGTGGGCCAGCTGTTACTTCAATTTAAGAGTCTGCTATTAATAAACCTGTAGAATATGGAGATCAGAGAAATGACGTTCCAGCAATGGGCCATAGGGAGAACATTCGGTGATCTTCCAAAGCAAGGAAACTTAATGCTGTTGTAGTTATTGTGTTAAGCACATTGTAGGAACATCATCGTCGTCATCATGATAGTCGTACTAATAATGACGACAAGGGCAATAAACAAGAGAAACTTCAATATTAACCGTCTCCGTCCCCACCATCAGGACAGCTAGCATTTATTGGCTCCTACTTTCTGCCAGGCACTTGACTACACATTTTATTTGCATTATTTTTTCTTAATCTGTACAGCATCCCTATGAGGAAGGTCCTAGCAATATCTACCTTTTACAGTTGAGAAAGTAGGATTTAAAGAGATTAGGTAAGTGGCTCAAAGTGAGACGACCAAACGAGAAAGGGTCAGAGCACGGGGAGTAACTGACAGCGCAGACCGAGGTTGACCGCCCCTCGGCCCCGCCCCTCGGCCTCGCCCTGAGTGCGGTGTGTGTGGCCAGCATTGGCTCCTTGTTCCTACCTATCCCTGCTCACGTGCCCTCTGCCCTCTGCCCACCTACCATCAACGTTTTGTCTCTCCTGCACTGATGTAGCGAAAGCATCAAACAGTATATAAGTAGTTCAAGATTGTGAAAGAGTATTTGGCTTCTAGAGAATATAGAGAAATAATGAAGATTAAAAATCACCCCATTTTGAAAGATGCCCACTCTGTAAGTCATGAACACAGTAGCGTGTTGTTATTGCCTTTCCCTTTGTGTATAGGTTGTTCACATAGTTTCTATATATTTTAGTTTTGAGTTTTAAATTTAACAAGTGTTTTCTTGTGCTGTTGCTTCATAAGTCTGTTTTAATGGATGCTGTACATGGTTAGAGGACTCTAAGGTTTATTCCACGAGAAGTTGTATCCTTGAGTTGCTCCCCTGTGGCAAATGCAGAGTTTCTGCTCCCCTTACTGGATAGCCAATTTCTGTCTGCTGACAGCTGGGTCAGAATTATGGGGTGTCTCTGCCCCCTCACTTTGTGAACACCTCATATCTTGAGCAGGGTCTCTATGGGGTCTGGCAGGGGTTTCAGCACAGAGACCCAGAGGTGGCTCTGCACTGCAACTAGCTGCAAACCTTGGGTATGTTATTTCAGTTTAGCACCTTTGTCTGTGAACCACCTATATCTTCTCAGGTCTATAATTCCATGAAATCAGGGGTTCTCTGAACTCCCTTGATTTATAACCTGACCAGTTGCCACTGAAGCAGGAATCAGTGGGGCTCAGCTGGGTTGCTCTGGGTTTATTTTATAGGTGAGAAAACTGAGGCACAGAGAGGTTAAGGAGCATCCCCCAATGCCATAAAGGTGCTACACGGCAGGCCTGTAATTTCACCCAGGCAGACTGGCTCTGGGGTCTGCATATTAACCCCAAATACCTCTCAAGGTGATGGAAACTAACTCTTCCAGACTGTTGGTAGAGCTCTCTCTTGGACCATGTAGGTTTTGACAGGCAGGGGGATTGGCTATGTGGAAAGGGACACTAAGCCTTTTTGGGCGCATCCATATGGCCAAAATGGTCCTGGTCACATTGTAAGAGACTGTAACTGGAGATAATAAAGACACTTGTGGTCCCACACAATAAAGAGTAATTCTCCTGGATGTAACTGTGTGGGCCTGTCTGGTGATGGTGGTGGTCATGGTCATCGTCACAGTGTTACTCTGCTCTTGTGCTGGACGTTTGAAGAATGGGAATATTTGACTCTGTCCTCTCTAGCCTTTCAGTTAGCCTCTCTTGTTCTTGGCTTCGGGTAGTCAGCAAGCCTCAGCTCCAAAGAAAATGTGGTGATTATTTAGATTTTGTTTAAGGTTAGGTTAATAGCCTTCTTTATATAGCTAGCATTTGTGGGACTAAATTCAGTCCAGTCTCCAAGCAGTACCAGGAGGTTCATCTAAGGAAAGTGACATTTTACTGACTTTTTAAGGCCACCCTTGCAGCCATGGATGGAGTGACCCCTGGCACCAATGTAAGGGACCCACATCTCTTCCTAAGTTTGAGGGTGCGAAGCGTGTATTGGATTCAGGACTTTGCATTTAGCACTGGAATGGGGGGACGCCACCAGTCTAAGACTCGCAGGCGGTCATTCCTGCCACCAGGCGTCTCTTCTCCATCAGATCCCACTGCTGCCTCTTCGCTCCACAACTGGCCCGTTAGCCGCCTCCTTCTGACCGCCGCTTCCTCTGATGTTGACTCAATGACTGTTTCCACTGCTGGGAGGTTTTTGTTACAGCTTCCGTCTCCATGAGAATCTACATGTTCCCTCTAATGTGGTCTCCACTAGAATCGGAGCTGGAAGCGAGGCAGTCCGGTCGAGAACAGCCCCGTCCGAGACGGCAGAACATGGGGTTAGGGAGACCCTGGCTGCCGGCTGCCCACCCCTCCCACACCAGCAACTCCCCTGAAGGCCAGATTCATTCATTCACTCATTCATCCCTCCCTCTCTCTCTCCCTTTCTTCCTTCCTTTTCTTCTGTTTTTTTTTTTTTAAGATTTTATTTATTCGTTTTTAGAGAGAAGGGAGGGGAGACAGAGAGGAGAGAAACATCGGTGAGTGGGAGAAACATGGATTGGTTCCTTTCCTCCACGCCCTGACTGGGGACTGAACCCACCACCCAGGTGTATGCCCTGACCGAGAACTTGACCCATGACCTTTCACTTTGCAGGACAACAGCCAACCAACCGAATCACACTGGTCAGGGCAAGGCCAGATTTTTTGATCACCAAACAAGAAATCCCAGTGATGTTTTTCTTACATTAGTGTAAACTCTGTCACCCTTATAATCTTTTCCTTTAGGTAATCTTGAAGAGTTTATAACCCTGTCCTACCTACATAAAGTACTGTTTTCTTTTTGGATGCTTGCTTCCTTTTCTTATTCAAATGAGCGGGGACAGTTTATCCCCTGCCATAGATGTGAAAACCAGACAGACAGGTCCCTACAGCAGAGAGTCTCCAAACAGTGCTGCACTGAATAGCTCAGCCTGCCCTTAGCCCAGAATTAAAGAACAGAACACAGGCAGGAAGCTTCCTTTGTCTCCTCAGGCCTTTCAGGCTGCCCTTTCCCCCATAAACGTAATTGCTTCCTTTGGTTGATCAGGCCGGCTGGCCATACCCCTTTCCCTCCCTCCTCCTTGGTCAGCCAGGACTGCCCAAGCACATGCCTTTGATTTGCGGTCATCAACATTAGTTAGCCTTTGGCTTTGGCTGACACGGCCTGTATGGGGGACTGGCAGTGCCCAGGAGAAGGACATGAGGCTGTGAGAGAGGAGGGAAGAGAGGGGGGAGGCAGCAGTGGCACTGGCTCAGTGGTGGGCTGGGTGACTTGTTGCGCTGAGCAAACTGGATCACCACAGGGTCCCTGCGCACACAGAAGTTGCCATGCCTCCTGAAACGGAGGTTCATTCCCCCCACCCCCAGGGAGGACCGTTCAGACATGCCATTTTCTTGGAAGTCGCTGCTGTTTTGACCCATGCTATGGCTGCTTGGTTTATTGTTCCCCTTTCTTGTTGATTTTGAATGAGTATTGTAGGAAGACAATAGCTGAAAGTTTGCATAAGCTCTTCCTTTTTAAGCAGTGAAGATGGCTGTTTACCAATA